TATCCATTACCGCGCATCGACGACGCCCTTGACAGCCTCCAAGGAGCCGAATTCTTCTCCTCCTTAGACTTACGATCTGGATACTGGCAGGTTCCTATGGCAGAAGCTGATCGCCAGAAAACTGCGTTCATTACACCAGATGGCTTGTACGAATTTAACGTAATGCCATTTGGGCTTTGTAATGCTCCTGCCACGTTTGAACGACTCATGGACAACACACTGCGTGGACTGAAGTGGTTCTGTGTGTCTATGCTACCTCGACGACATTGTCGTTTTCTCTCCCGATTTTTCTACACATCTGCGTCGGCTCCAACTGGTGCTGACGTGTTTAACCAACGCTGGGCTCCAACTGAACCTTAAAAGTGCCGCTTCGCCGCGCGAGAGCTGTCCATCTTAGGGCACATCGTGTCCAAGGATGGTGTTCGACCCCGACCCTGCAAAACTGCGAGCAGTCGCTGAGTTCCCGAAACCTACTATACTGAAAGAATTACGCAGTTTTGTCGGACTATGCTCGTACTTCCGGCGCTTCGTGCGAAATTTTGCGTCGATCATGTCACCACTGACCAACCTCCTACGCGGTGATGCAGACCTTTCATCCTGGTCTTCTGAGTGCGACGTCGCCTTTGCCACGCTCCGTAGTCTGCTAACATCTCCTCCAATTCTTCGGCATTTCGACCCAACAGCTGCAACGGAAGTTCACACAGACGCTAGTGGGGTTGGTCTAGGCGCCGTCCTCGCCCAACGCAAGCCGGGCTACTCAGAATACGTCGTCGCTTATGCGAGTCGCACACTTACTAAAGCTGAGGCCAATTACAGCGTCACTGAAAAAGAGTGCTTGGCGCTAGTGTGGGCGCTTCGCAAGTTCCGCCCTTATTTGTACGGTCGCCCATTCGACCTGGTAACGGACCACCATGCACTTTGTTGGCTCGCCACATTGAAAGATCCTTCTGGCCGCCTAGCTCGGTGGGCACTGCAAATCCAGGAGTACGACATTCGTGTCATCTATCGCAGCGGACGCAAGCATTCTGACGCCGACGCCCTGTCGCGTTCGCCTTTACCTCCCGACTCGGCCTGCGAAACCACTGGTACCAACTCCGTCGCATCTCTCGACCTCGACTCTTTTACCGGTGAACAACACAAGGACCCGTGGATCGCTTCCCTTTTTAACTGTCTCTCTGGATCGTCAACCACTGCGGTACCACGATCTCTCCGACGTCAAGCTGCTCATTTCGCGATTCGTGATCGGCTGCTACACCGACGCAACTACGCCCCCGAAGGTCGTAAGTGGCTCTTGGTTGTCCCGCGCAGCTTGCGATCACAAATCTGCGCCTCCTTTCACGACGATCCCCAATGTGGTCATGCCGGAGTTTTCAAAACTTACGAACGCATTCGCCATCGCTTCTACTGGCGCGGAATGTATAATTTCGTTCGAAAATTCGTTATGGGCTGCCCTGACTGTCAACGCTGCAAATCACCGCCTTTCCACTCGTCCGGTGCGCTTCAACCGCTCCCGTGCCCTGCCAAACCTTTCGATCGGATCGGAATTGATCTCTATGGCCCTCTACCGACAACATCAGATGAAAATCGGTGGATCATAGTCGCTGTGGACCATTTAACACGCTACGCTGAGACCGCCACCCTTCCAAGTGCCACTGCGCGGGACGTAGCATCCTTCATCCTTCATCGCTTCATACTAAGACATGGTGCACCTCGAGAGCTACTAAGCGACCGAGGTCGAGCCTTCCTATCAGAAGTCGTCACGTCTCTGCTTTCTCAATGCCATGTTGTTCATCGCAAGACCACTGCATACCACCCGCAAACTAACGGGCTCACGGAAAGATTTAACCGCACCTTGGCGATATGCTCGCCATGTATGTGACATCCGATCATACTAACTGGGATCGCATTCTTCCATTCATCACGTTCGCATATAACACCGCGGCACAGTCTACCACTGGATTTTCACCTTTCTTTCTTCTTTATGGACGCGAACCATCCCACACCATCGACACTCTCCTTCCATACCATCCTGACGCATCCGAATGCCCATCTGTGTCCGAAGCTGCCCGTAATGCGGAAGACTGCCGTCACCATCGCCGACATGCCATCTGAGCAACGCAAGGACTCTTGGGTTGCTTCGATTCTAGACATCCTGGCTGGGCGGACGGCTTCCCCCCCTTCTCGCACGTTGCGTCGGCAAGTGGAGCACTTCGCCACTCGCGACGACGTGCTGTACCGACGCAACTACGCACCCGGTGGACGTCAGTGGCTACTCGTGATTCCACGTCATCTGCGATCCGAAATTTGTTCCACGTTTCATGACGACCCCCAATGTGGCCACGCAGGTTTCCTGAAGACTTATTCTCGCATACGTCTCCGATATTACTGGCGTGGCATGTACCGTTTTATACGACAATACGTTCGGGCCTGCTCGACGTGCCAGAGACGAAAAACTCCCCCTTGTCACGCCAGCGGTACCTTGCTACCCTTACCATGCCCATCCCGACCATTCGACCCGCGTCGGCATTGATATCTATGGTCCCCTTCCCAACACTGCTGACGGTAACCGCTGGATCATAGTTGCCGTCGACCATCTCACGCGGTATGCCGAAACTTCATCCCTTCCCTCGTCTACAGCAAAAGACGTTGCGACTTTCGTTCTTCACAACATCGTATTACGTCATGGAGCACCTCGGAAGTTACTGAGCGATCGTGGTCGCGTATTCTTGTCAGACGTCATCACAGCATTGCTGCGTGAGTGCCACGTCGTTCACCGCACTACAAGCGCTTATCATCCCCAGACCAATGGAATGACAGAGCGCTTCAACCGCACCCTTGGTGACATGCTCTCTATGTATATCTCGTCAGACCACTCCAATTGGGACCGAGTGCTCCCGTTTATCACGTTCGCTTATAATACCGCCATTCAAAGCACTAATGGGTTCTCTCCTTTTTTCCTCCTTTACGGACGCGAACCTTCTTGCACTATGGACACCATTCTTTCGTACAAACCTGACTCCTCAGAGTCCACGACTTTGTCTCAAGCCGCTACATACGCTGAGGAATGCCGCCAACTGCAAGATCATTCACAACCCAAGACCAAGGACGCCAAAAGCACCACCATGACACATCAAATAACACTACTTCCTACGATTCAGGTTCACTCGTCTGGCTGCATGTTCCTTCTGCTACACCTGGCCTTTCTACCAAGTTGGTCCCCAAGTATCACGGCCCATATCGTGTGCTACAAAAAACGTCACCGGTGAATTACCTCATCGAGCCACTGGAACCATCTTCTGACCAACGTCGTCGTGGCCAGGAAATTGTCCACGTGTCGAGACTTAAGCCGTGCTACGACCCTCCCGTGTTTACTTGTACTTAGGTCGCCAAGATGGCTCCTTATTTCGCGGGGAGTAATTGTAATGAATTAATGAATCTGAGTAACGGACGCTCTGCTGGCAACGAAGAAGACGATGATGATCGGTGGCTGCAGTAGTAGCTCGCGCACGCCGCTCGCCATTAGCCAGACCTGCCTGATAAAGGACATTTTGCCAAGCTACGTCTGAACTCTCTCGACGTATAACACCTCTATTTTAATATATATATATATATATATATATATGTTTTGGTAGCAGGAACACAGAGGTTGTCCTTGCCCTTTTGGTGTTGTTTTCTCACCATGCACATTTTTGTTATTACTCTACCGTTACTCGAGGAAGAAAAATACCACCCATTATTGTTTGCCACCGTTTGTCACAGAAAATATAACGCATAGCGAAAGCTAAAAAAAAACAAAGGGCCACAACTATAACGTCTGCGCTTTGACACTGGAAGCACTTTACAGCACAGGTGACCTGCACAACATGGCCTTCTGCAATGTGGTAAGCATAATAGAAAGGGGAATTTTTGTTGATTGACCGAGGTGAGCTGAATTTTTTCGCGATAATTGAAGTTGCCGAGATTTCGACACTTTGCAGTGAAGATCGCTCATGGCCAGTGCGCCATAATTTGTCGGTCCTTGAATGCAGAAGTTTTCGTACTCAATAGACTACGTTCACAAGTCTACGGGAATCGAATTTCAGTCTCGGCGGCCGCATTTCCTATTGTGGCGAAATTTTTTAATGCCCTTGTGCTTTCATTTAGGTGCACGTTAAAAACTTCCAGGGGGTCATAACTTCGGGAGCCGCCGATGTGGTGTCTCTCATAAATGGTGGTTTTGAGAAGTAAAACTCCAACAATCATTTATATTACTTTAAAGCGACCTCAAACTGACACCGCTGATGCATTCTTCACTCGTAGGACAACTTTCTGTGGCAATGAAGATAAGGCTATGGAAACCAAAGTGGGCGTGTGCCAACGTTCAGGAGTACAGTGCACACAAAGGGGCCTGTGCTTTTCCACGTCAAGATAATAAAAACAACATTACTTTCTGTTCTACGGAATGCTGGTTATAAAGAAAGGCTGCATGAACCAAGGAGTAATATTATTTGTGTAGCTTTGTTAAGTGTCATTTGGTGTTACTTGCACGTCCGCAAACGTCACACGTTGTAGGTGCACCTAAAAGTCAAAATGGCATCTTTGTTTTTAGGTGAGTCCTCGTCATCCTCCAACTATACCAACTGACTCGTCGAAGATATTATGCCGAATTTCGCCTACAAACAGCTGTGTAAGGAAACGTACCAAATCAGCGCAGTTTTATTATTCAAATACGGCTAGCATTCAGAGAGCGAGTCGAGACGGACTTCTTCGCGCAGGACTACTAGTGCTGTGGCTTTGCCTACGTAGCTTTCCCTTCATTGCCACAAAAAGTGTTCGGCGATTATAGTTCAGCTCAAAATTATTGAGTCGATTTGTATTGAACGTCAGTATAAATGGCACAACTGATTAGCCGCTCATTAGTATAGCATTATATTCATGAGTGGGCTACAAACTACTTACGTGTTATATTTTTCGTTGGTATGATACAAGAAGTAATTTTAAACTTCTGAATACACTTGCAGGACTGTGCCTCTTATGATGGTAACAGTTGCAGTTTGCGCTTTCTTGATGCACCACATGGGTGATGGACCACTCTGGATGGATATTATAACAGCATATGAGGGCACTTGCCGAGACAATTGGTGGATGAATCTTATATACATCCAAAATTTTATCAATACGAAGAAAGCCGTAAGTTTCAATCTGTGCACCCTGGTTGTAATCAAGATAGGAATCCTTTATATACGCTTACTACACATTACAATTTTAGTAGTACTTAATGCTGGTAGGTGGTCGGCACCACACGATGAGGGTAAGTTTCACATGCCTGACTAATGCAAAATATTTTTTTTTTCAGATGTTCCACCATTTCATACATCCTTAGTAAAATATATATATTTTGCATGACACGCTCAATATCAGAGCGAAATTTCACTCTATGATTGCGTTTATATGCACTTGTTCAGCTGCACTATAGGTGAAAGTGGCTTGTTAAAAAAATCGCACTAGTCAAAAAGATGTCCCACCTAAAATGCCTAGGTACTCCTCCTTATCACGAAATAAAAATATTCGTTTTCTTTTTTTATGTGTAACTTAATGATTGTACATTGGTACAGTTGAATTGTTTAGGTCACACGTGCACCTGGTCGTGGGTTAGAGCAGTTTTGAACCTGCAGCTTCTGAAAATTGACCACGCTTTTCAAGTATAAATACGTCTTCTCTCACCAATTCTAATGTGCAGGCTCTTTCAAACATATAGCAATGCTTAAAGCACAATGCTATGCCCTATGAGTTTTTCTCTAGTGTTCAACAGACTGTACATGCATTATTCATATAGCTGAAATGAGTAATTTAGCAATTTAGAGTGTGCGGGGTCTATAAAGCTCAGATATATGCTCGAAGTTCCTGTTTCAGGGACAACGCTGAACAAACTAGTCAGAAAACAGTATTGGTTTGCACATTAAGCGTCATAAGCAAAACAAATTGGCTGCGTATCTGCGTGATTCACGGCAAATGTCGAAAGACGTCCATCGGTCGTCTTTTCTCGTGCAGAGCGTCGCATAATTAGCGCAGCATAAGAAATAGTAAAATTTAGCGTGAAGCTGGGAGGTAAATGAGAGGTACGAAACCATGGGTCGTACCTCCCATGTTACTGTAGTTATCGTAGCAGTAGCCAGTGGCATTGCATTGCATGTCAATAAAAAGAGTGTCGCAGCATAACCACGGAATGAATGACGATGAGTGAGGTGAAGACCCAATCAGTCCGTTCGTGCTTTCGTGAGTCCGTCCGTTCGTTCGTTTGTGCACCATTCGGTCGCTCTGTGCATCCGTCCGTGCGTTCATTGTTCTGTTTGCGTGTCTGTATATCTGGCAGCAGCAAGCACAGGACCGGGTTAACTGGCGGAACATGAGAGAGGCCTTAGTCCTGCAGTGGACGTAGTCAGGCTGATGATAATGATGATGATGATGACGATGATGATGATATCTGCCTCAATGTCTGTCTGTCTGTCGGCTCGACGAAATGACAGACAGACAAAAGAGAAACAGACAGACAGACAGACAGACAGACAGACAGACAGACAGACAGACAGACAGACAGACAGACAGACAGACAGACAGACAGACAGATGGGCGGGCGGACACTTCGCCCCACTAATTATCATTCACTCCGTGGATATGATGTGAATAATTTTGAGTTACCAATCTAAGCATTTCGTGGTGAATGAACACACACTACTTAATACTTACGAATGGTTCTTGGGCATCTGATTGATAACATATTCTTCTTGAGCAGCAATGTTGAAAAGTATGAAAGCGGCTTCCAGTTTAAGATGGCTGGCCATTTAGGATGGGCGGAAACTTCGTCTGGATGGCTAAGCTTTGTGACAGACTGCACAACCGACCGAAATAGTCTGCGTTCAAGTCTGCCAAGATATACCATTGTCTTTATTAGGAACGTATATCCTAAATGCCTAGCAAAGCGGCTGAATAAGTGAAGGAGCTGACTTTACCTGCGATATTGTGACAGCAATAAAGGCTACCTCTAATTGGGAGTCAGATATGAGTATTTCGAATCTTACCTATAAAGCGGGAATGTTACAGTCTCTGTGCCTTGAAGCAGTTTTCATTGCGCACATGATTCCTGAGAGAGTTCTTGTTCACCAAGAGAATGCTCCTTTAACTTATTTGCAGTGCTTACGACATACATGGTACTCAGCAGTTGACTTCCAACTTCACTTCATCGCTCCAATATTTATTTATCTCCTGTACAGGTATGAATCTTGTTTATTTATTATGGCTATTCTAATTTAGTACTTCTGGCCTAGAAATAATTAAGCTCAATCGATCTTTGTGTAGTGCAAGGGTTCAAACACGGGGCCCTCGGATATTCAGCTAGCGGCTTTGCCAGCGTGTGAAATGTCCCAGGTTTAATTTTTTTATCCCGAGTAGGTATGCCAAGGATATTTACAAATAAAGCTCACCTGAATATTTTTTCTAGGCACCCCGTGTAGTCATAAACATTGTAACACAGCTTTGAAAAAAAAACTATATTTAGGAATCAATTCTGATAATATAGTCTTCCTGGAGGTCAGCATCAATTCAATGCTGACGTCAAATCTATTCACGGATTTCTAATATAAAATATTCTGGACGGGCCTTGTTCTAAGGGCCAACGTATGCGGGAATTGCTCATCCCCTCATCCCATGCCCCCTGTCCTGTTAACTCTTCACCTTCTTAGCTATTGTGTGAGGGTAATTTCGTTGCCACAACCCGGTAGCTGAGGTGAGTGAGACTGCTGTTGTGTAGTGCATGCAATTAGGCTGCTGTTAGTAGCGCAACAATCTTGATGATATTCATTAGCACTATACGGATGAATTGCTCTTTGTTATCGCATATGGCACTTTAGAACATAAAACTAATGAAGAAGGTACATTGTGCATGAACATCACAATCTAAATAAAACAATGATACCTCATTGTCGTAAATTATGTTTTAATTGAAAGAAAACAGTGGTTTTTGAGGGCTTTTTTATATTTAGAATAACAATATTGCGACTGTCTGTTCGACAACTAACGATGTCTGTTAGTTCTGTCGATACAGTTGTTTTCAGGTCACCCACGAAATTTCCTTTGTTTCTTTTTATTTTTATGTTTGCAGATGGCCTCGTGTAGGATATATGGTGTGCGGAGGGCTTGTTGTGGCTTCCGCTAGTTTCACCACAGTGTATACTGCAGTGCATGGATTGGGGTTCGTATTCTTTTTGCGCACTTTTATAGGATGCCGGTTTTCCTCCGTATTGGGGAAAAACTGTTTTAGTGCTAATGCTGACGTTTACACAATGGAAAACATTCCTGAAATGACCTGCGATATGTCTTTTTTTTTACGCTGCACACTCCTTTAGGGCGATCACGTTACTTTGTTGCATGCTTGAATGTGCTGCTATAAAATTACAGAAAGACTCGGCACAACACAGCGAATAGTCATGCTTTACCTGCGCAACTTTTGCTAACAAAACGTCGTGGACAGTAATCAGGTAGCTGTTTGGCGTACGTTAATCTCTCCGTAATAGAAAATTCAGAAACAATATAGACGACTATGCTATGTCTCTAGTATTTCGCTCACAAAAAATAAATTCAGGAGCAGTCAGGGAATTAGTTTAGGGTCTCAAATACTAAGCAATACTAAGGCTACAAAAGAAAACTGCCTTATTAGTAGCCTCAGGTCTGCTGTGACTTTCAACTTTACTGCATCGCTCCAATATTTATTTATCTTCTGTACAGGTAGGTTACACTTAGTATAAATTTTGTACATTATGGCTATTTTAATTTAGTACTTCTGGCCTTAAAATAGTTAGGCTCAATCGATCTTTGTGTAGTGCAAGGGTTCAAACACGGCGCCCTCGGATATTCAGCTAGCGGCTTGGCCAGCGTATGAAATGTCCCAAGTATTATTATTTTTATCCCGAGTAGGTATGCCAAAGATATTTACAATTAAAGCTCACCTCAATATTTTTTTCTAGGCACTCCGTGTGGTCATAAACATTGTACCAAAGCTTTGAAAGAGAAACTATATTTAGGAATCAATTCCTATAATATAGTCTTCCTGGATGTCAGCATCAATTGGTTGCAGACATCAAATCTCATTCACGGATGTCTAATATAAAAGATTCTGTACAGGCCTTGTTCGAAGGGCCAAAGTTAGCGGGAAGTTGCTCACCCCCTCATCTCATGCCACCTGTCCTGTTAACTCTTCACCGTCTCAGCTATTCTGTGAGGGTGATTTCGTTGCCACAACCTGGTAGCTGAGGTGAGTGAGACTCCTTTTGTGTAGTGCATGCAATTAAGCTGTTGTTACTAGCGCAACAATATTGAACATCTTCATTAGCACTGTACAGATGAATTGCTCTTTGTGATCGCATATGACACTTGAGAACATAAAACTAATGAAGAAGGTACTATTGTGCATGAACATCACAATCTAAATAAAACAATGATACCTCATTGTCATAAATTATGTTTTAATTGAAAGAAAACAGTGTTTTTCGAGGGCTTTTTTTTAGACTAACATTATTTCGACTGTCCGTTCGACAACAAACAATATCTGTTAGTTCGGTCGATACAGTTGTTTTCAGGTCACCTACGCAATTTGCTCTGTTTTTTTTTATTTTTATGTTTCCAGATGGCCTCGTGTAGGAAATATGGTGTGCGGAGTGCTTGTTGTGGCTTCCGCTAGTTTCACCACAGTGTATACTGCAGTGCATGGATTGGGGTTCGTATTCTTTTTGCGCACTTTTGTAGGATGCCGGTTTTCCTACGTATGGGGAAAAAAATGCTTTAGTGCCAATGCTGACGCTTACACAATGAGAAACATTCCTGAAATGGCCTGCGATATGTCTTTTTTTTTTAGCTGCACACTCCTTTAGGGCGATCACGTTACTTTGTTGCATGCTTGAATGTGCTGCTATAAAATAACAGAAAGAATCGGCACAACACAGCGAATAGGCATGCTTTACCTGCGCAACTTTTGCTAACAAAACGTCGTGGACAGTAATGAGGTAGCTGTTTGGCGTGCGTTAATCTCTCCGTAATAGAAAATTCAGAAACAATATTGACGGCCATGCTATATCTCTAGTGTTTCGCTCACATAAAATAAGTTCAGGAGCAGTGAGGGAATTGGTTTATGGTCTCAAAGTACTAAAGCAATACTAAGGCTAAAAAAGAAAACTGCCTTATTAGTACCTTCAGGTCTGCTGTCAGTCCCTTAGAGCTGTGCATCAAAATAAATGTAAAAAAAGTAGGCTTGAACTAGAATATTTGCTCCGTGAATTTTGAAACCAGTGTTATTTTTGAGAAGTGTGCAACAGAGTGCCTAAAGTAACTTGTCACATTGCAAAATTTTAGTAAATGCTAGCACAAAGTTGTTGCGGTCGCTGGGTGCAGCAGCACGCATTCGACTTCGTTTTGATTAAGCGGCGGCGGCAACAGCTCGCTACCAAGCAGTAACGCATAGCTCTGTAACTTCTGCTGTGAACTTCTTCGTGTCTTTCTTTTCATCGGTGGTTTTGTTTAGCGACTCAAAACGTTTATCGCTAGTGGAAAAAAGTGCATGCAAATATTTACGCTAAAATAAACTTCACATACTTTGCTACTCTCATATTCTGTGAAGCCTAAGGGTGCGCTTCCTAGTTGAAAAAACAAGTTCCACTCTCAACGCCGTTTCTCCTGCAAGTTCTGATTAACGTTCCCGCGTTTGAATATTCCTATTTATTTCATAAAGCGGACGCGGACGGGAAGAATCACCACCGTTGTAACTCATTTGATAGAGCACAGAATTCGTTATTTGAAGTTATAAGTTTTGCTGTCAGCGAAAACTAATATTTCTCCCCATTCATTTTCCTAACAATTCCACCATAACTACTTCAGGTAACAGGCTTTGTAATTTCCAATTATTTATAGTCTCTAAGTTCTAAAGAAGTTCCTTAATGCAAGCTTTATTGATATTGCGTCCTTACTTCAGCTAAGTAGTTAGGAGAAAGAACTGCATTAACTGTTAAGAAACTGCATAATTCTGGTTAATTGTAGTTGGTTATACATTCGATAGGCAGCGGGAATTTCCCGCTGATTGATATCTCGACCATAAAAGAGTTCGGTATGCTGTTGCACCTAGGAAAAAAACATGTTCGCGCAAGTCATTCAGGTACGTTAGAAACAAAAAAAAAACAAAATAATCGCCAAAACGAACGAACGTTCGACTTATAAAAACATAATATTGAAGCCATCGAATGTTACAACTAATATGCGAAAGAACGAAAATTATAAAGGACATGTGAGGAGAAGTATTGTATAACGGCATTTCTCATCTTTACGCGAAATCTCACTTTTAACACCTTGAGTTCCTTGTGCTGACAACATTTGTAACTAGAAATTGCTCATATATTTCATAGCTATTATTTGCAGAGTCAAGGCGCATTCTGCTGTCGTCGCCATGCTGCCTATAATATTACGCCACGATGCTACATATTAAACGCGCATTCTGCTGTCACCATGATCCTGCATATAACTGTACAGTCCAAAATCGGACTCCACTTACAGGCATCAAGTGTAGTGAACGACAGACGAGAACGAATCACGCGAGCAAGCACCAGCGTAAGTAGCAGCACCAGACTCGAGGTTGCGTTCGCCTGGATTTCAGCTGCTTGATGCCCGCCGCTTTTAGACGCTCCACCTCTAACGTTTCTCGAGCTTCCCTGATGTCCATCGTCAATAAACCACGTCACACTCTTTATTCTCACTGTGAATATAGGCCTTGTTTTAGGGTCGCTTAAGAAAGCACCTTCCATCCATTTCTAGAAGGGTTCGTGCACTGTGCAGGCAGCACGCAGTCATCTTGCGCTAATCGCGACCAATCAGATGGGCGACAAAGCGGCAGGCGTCGCGAGTACGTTTGGTGTATGCGCGCCACCAAGTGGCGTCGACCTTTTCAAAGAATGACGGCACTCTAAGCGAAGGCGCGCATCGAGGCACGGTAGTGGAGGCAGGCGTTGGTGGTGCGTGCCCCGGCGGTGACACGCGACAACCCAACGCCTTGGTGAGAAAGGAAGCTGCTCCATAGACACCGAATGGGAACCATGCGATATATAGGGCGCATACGGTGGCGCATTCGACACGAAAGGCAATGGAAACGTGCTTCAGAAGAGCTTTGTGAAATGGCGACTCTCTTTTTCTGCATGTACCTTTCAAAAGGAGTCAAGTGAGTATCTGAAGGGAACTTGCATGTCAGAACCCACTTTGGACTCTTTTTGTTTAGAGTGCAAAACACTCACAGCTATTTTATCCTGTGCATTAACAAACCCACGAACCAGATGAAGAGTTCCGCATGTTCGCGTGTTGCCCCTGGAAGGCGTCGTGGGCCCTTGGCCAATTCACCAAAGGAAAAGTTTCAAAAGTTTTGGCACATTGAGCAACAAATATAGGTGCTTGCAATAGTAATTTAACGATACTTTGAAACGGTTAATGTCGCGCGCACACTCATTCATTTATTGGACGGCATGGTTGAGGCATATACCAAGAACTGAAGCACGTTATTAGTTCGAACGCAATGCGCATAACGCCTCATTGCGTTATCGCGATTTACTTTAAGGTACTGCAGAAGCACCCTTTATTTTTCCTTTATTATTTGGCGTCTCTATCTTCAGACGCTAACCTCTCACAACATGCTTTTTCAATGAGCATGAAAATTATGAAGCTTTTGCTTGAGAACATGAATTTTGAAGTTCACGCTTGAAGTCTAATTGAACTCCGCATTATATGGCACTAATTTGTGTGATTTTTGACATTCCGTACCTAATGATATTTCTATATAACACCTCTTCACTCATTTAGTGATTATAAATTATGTGATTGCATTGACTACATGAATATTACTCCACGTCTTGCCATAGTAATGTATAATCAGCAGATTTAAGCCACAGTGATCACGAGCTGTATGTGCTATGGGCCTTCAGCTACACTTTAATTGTTTAAATTGTAAGGCAACGTTTTGGCTGCAAGACACTTCTTTCACTTGCCGAGCCTCTCCTCCACAAAACAGGTCACACTGATGATGATAAGTATGTAGATATAATAAAATGAAGCGTATGAATAATGCTCACACTCATTCCCCCCCCCCCCCCCACGCGTGAACGGCCAGCCCGGACGCATCCTTTAGATGGAAATGGATTGTCGACCGAATGGCTTCAGATGCGATACGTGGACAATCTCCGAACCACGACAGCGACTATCCGAAGAACGGTAGTGGTAGTGACACAATAGTTAACTGGTGATGTTTGTTCATTGATTGTATAGGGTCCAATGAAGCGTGACTGAAACTTATTGCACAATACTGGAGTACGAAGAGGCACCCAAAGCCACACTTCATTCCGCGGACTGAAAGAGACGTCGCGATGAGAGCTGTCGTAGCGTTGCTCGCGACCTTGCTGATTGGCTTCTGTATTAAGGTGAGCCTATTGGCGACATACCTCGAGCCTTGTGATAAACTGATCTGATACGATTGCCGAGGCGTCAGTTGGAACATTTAGGAAAGAGACGTCGATGGTGAATGTCGGTGTACGGCCGTACACGAGGTAGAGAGGCGAGTAGGCAGTAGTTCTTTGAACAGCGGTGTTATGGCCAAACGTCACAAAAGGCAAAATCGTATCCCAGTTGCCGTAGTTTGGTGCGATGCACATCGATAGCATGTCTGTTGGTGTCCGATGAAATCTCTTCGTCAGGCCATTAGTTCGGGGGTGGTAGGCTGACGACGTCTTATGTACTGTGCCACAGGTTGTGAGCAGGGTTTCGATTATGATGGACAGGAACGTCTTGCCGCGATCACTGAGAAAGACGCGAGGTGCACCGTGATGCAATACAATAAGAAGTCAGCGAAGTCTAAACCCGAACTTGTGCGTGGCGCAGCAGTCTCTGCGTACCGTGTCAGCTGATTGACAGCAGTCACAATCAAACAATTACCTGATGGCGTGATGAGGAGAGGTGTGAGTAGGTCTATGCCAACGATGGCAAAGGAGTCTCGGGACACGGGATGGGTTGCAGAAGGCCAGCAAGAGAAGAAGTTGGTCGCTACCGTTGTTGACACAGATGGCAAGATGCAATGAATTTCGCCACATAGGTAGAGATGCCAGGCCAGAAGAAACGTGTCATGATGCGGCATTTGTTTTGTGAAATCCCAAGTAGCCTGCACATGGGTCGTCGTGAAAGGCTTCGAGGACTTAATGACATACAGAACGTGGAAGTGCTGGAACCCAGCGGTGTCTATCAGTAGTGTAAACGTAACGATGGAGCACATTGTTATTGAGCTTAAAGTACCGTAGTTGTTTGCGCAATCTAGAAATAGGAGTAGGCGATATGAATTTAGGCGTTGGATAATGCGATTGCAGTATGGATCATCACGCTGGCGTGTGGCGAACTCGGTGTAGCGATTTGAAGCCGGCGTATCGATGACCGCAAGGCGTGATAGTGTGAGGAGTGACGCAGTGTCTTACCGACCAGACGAGCAATCAGCCGACGTACTCGATGATGACAGAAGAACGGGGCAGCGAGAGAGAGCATCTGCATCTTGGTGCCTTTCGCCAGACTTATAGATGACGTCAAAATCGTACTCTTGTGGGCGGAGCACCCAACGCCCGAGGTGAGCAAACAAGTTTCTCAATGACCATAGCCAGCACAAGGCGCGATGGTCTGTAATAACTGTGAAGTGGGGTCCGTAAAGACACTGTAAAAATTCTTGTGCGGCCCAAGCAACAGCGCGGAACTCCTGCTCAGTTATGGAGTAGTTCTGTTCTGCAGCCGTAACAGCGCGACTAGCACACGCAATAACTCTTTCCCGTGAAGTGGTTGGCATCCCGCTGTAGAAGAACTGCACCTATGACATGGCCACTCGCGTCGGTGTGCAGACATGTAGGTGCGTTCTGGTTGAAATGGCACAGAGCAGAATCGGATGATAAATTATGCTTGAAAGCTTGAAAGGCACACTTGCAGTCGTCGTTTAGAGCGAAAGTTGATCCGGATGTCAGCAGCTTGTGAAATAGCGACGCGATGGCAGCAAAATGACTAATTAAGCGGCGGAAGTAGCACTGTCGGCCCAGGAAACTTCGTAGGTGTTTCTGATTTTTTGGCCGAGGTAAGCGTATTACGGCACCAAGCTTGTCAGGATCCGGCCAAAGGCTATTTTCGCTGAAAAGGTGGCCCAACACCTTGATGTTCTTGTTGGCGAAATGGTAGTTTTTTGTGTGTAGCTTACGTCCAGCATTAGAAATACACGTCAAAACTTCGTCCAAATGATCAAAATGCTGACAAAAAAGGAGGAGAAAATGACGATGCCAATATTGACAAATTCTTTGAAAGAAATTGTTGAATGGCTACTTTATAACCGATAGTGCTATGAATATAATTGCGTCACTCTGCTATAGCTTTTGACTGAGTATTCAGCTCTTATGATTTGAAACTTGTAGCATAGGTAATGACTTAGTGTTCTAATCTATTTTCGCAGGAGTGTTCCTGGTGTTTATGACTACATGGAAGATGTTTACATCAAGCCCTATTTTCGCATCTCGACGTATCTTGCTGGCATTCTTTTGGGCAAATACATTGTAGCCAACAAAGAGAGCATCTCGACTACAAAAGTAAGGAGGCAATGTGTATTTATTCCCCTTTAAATATTCTTTATATGCTACGCAAGATTTAGCAAAAATATGAACATGTGCGAAAATTGTTCCAGAAGTTTCCTAAAGAAGTAATTTGGAAGGAAAGGCATGCCTGTATTTCGTGATGGCCTGAGCTTTATGTGTATCAGTATATTATTTTTGTATGTGCTATTGTGATTCTCTGTTGTTGACGAAATTTCGTCCATGAAAAGCATAGCTGTGGTGCGTTCTCACATCTTGAAACCCCATAAATTTCACTGAAATGAGCGCCCAGAAGTGGGAGACGCCTCAAAGTACTAAGAATGTGGCAACTTCTATGGACCGCGAACCAATGTCCTTGCAGGGTTTTCCTCTACAATGGCTTGCTTGGGGAGGCTTCGTGCCCGACCGACCACGTAACTCGTCACTAATCGATTAAGTCGTGTCCTTCCAGAGTGAGATGGCAGTAAGCACTGATCTGCCAAATCACCCACGTGACGGGCCACCCCCTCTTCAGTGAAAGGGCCGGGGGGACAGCGAGTCAGCAAGTGCATGTGTTATTTATTAAGTGTATTTGGTTTCCAACCAAAAATCAGGAGCCCGACTAAGGGCCTCAAAACAACCACGCAAGGTGCAAGTGGCTCTGAATCTTGATTTAATGGTTCATCCACCACGATCGTCGTTTGCTGAATTCTAACCTATGTTTTAAAGAGTTGTACGAAACGACAGTATATCTGCTTGTTATTGTTTTCCCCAACTTCTCAGCACCTTTTCCTCCACCCGAAGTCGCTCCACGCTAAAACAGGAGGCCCGGTCTGACGCAACTTTCACATCTCTGTAACATACTTCAATGCTGCCGCATCAGGTAGACCCCAGGCTCGCAACAACGACAAAGCAGTACCTTTACCATGGTGGTGCCACCTCCAGTGATGAATTTTATTTTGTAGAGTCACATTAATTTGCATTGGATGTGAAAATGCTACCAAGTAACATCTGGTATATACTTAGTGTTTAAAAAATACTATGTTAAGCTTTCTAGATAGATGTCGCTGCTTTCTTCGTGGGGAAGTCGTTGTATATTGAATGGAGATAAACATGAACAGCCGCTTTATGAGGTGTTGCCTCCTCTTGTGTAACAGTATATGTCTAACGTAGTTGTGAGGCTTCTAAGTATGGCTTGCTTTGTAGCCTTCTTGTGAATTTTTTCTTGAATACTTCCAATTATTCTCATTTCAAACTACGTAATGCAGTTAGTTTAGGTGATAATTTTTTATGTAGATTAAAAATAGAAAATATTGGTTCGGTGCACTCTAGCCTGGTCGATTTAGATAAGGACAATAAGTTGGTCACCTTGGTACTTAAATAGGTAGTAATAAGTGTTGCTTCGGCTATAGCTACATAATCACCTAAATATTTATTCGTCAATTTCATTAGACCAAAGTGATGATGAATTGCTGCAAAGAATAGCAACAAATTATAACTGAAACATCTTTTCTCTCTCTTTTGCTCTTGGGATTTCCCCTACCTCTATTACCATCCTTCGGGGAGAACCGCCAAAAGATTGAATGCAGTGTACTGCAGAAAAAAGTTTTTAGGTCGCTCCAACATTTACTTTCACTCAGCCCACCACATAACAAAGTAAAAATGCAATGCTCCAAAAGAAAGTGTGAGGGGACAACAGCGCCGTTATATTCTTACCAAAATTAGAGCTTTCTTCGAAATGCTCCTACCGAATGCAGTAGGGAGGGCTGTCTGTTTAGAGGTTGAGTGCTTGCTGCTCGTAATTGGTGAATTGAATATACATTGAAATTTCGCATGGCAGTAAAACACTTTTGATACTTTTCAGTGTTCATACTGCATCGGTATGCACCAATTTTATCTCTGAGAATATCTTGAATTTTGCGCATCATCACAAGAAACATCAGGGTAACTCAATAGAAGCACAGTACTTCTATAATCAGACAGAAAATTAACTGACCCTCAATTTCGACCAAGGTTGCCTATGCGAGCGTGCTCATTCGCTCATGTGAGACACCGAGAATAAGGTTTTTGTGCCAGTGCGGGCGAAGTTTTCTATAAATTCGTCAAAAAAGTGAACTCGTGTATGTGAGGAGGCCATACGCACCCTGCAATGCAGTTTTGAGAACCGGTCATACCGTCGGGTCGGCCAAGCAATAAGTTTGAAAGAGCTCGCATGCGCTGGTCAGTTTTCGCTGCACATGTCTAGCATGGTTCTAGCGTTTACTTTTCGAGCATTTGTCCTTCGCATTCAAAACATTTGCGCCCGCTCCTGCAATTCAAGCTTCGATGGCATCATCAGAACCGTGAGGTCGCATCCATGTGAAAATGAAAATTGGGCGCAAGTATTGCTCTGTGATCGACTGCCACAGTTGCGAAGGTAAGCCGGGCGTGAGGCTGAACAGCTTCTAGTTTAAACCTCGGGAGAATTGACGAATGCAAAAGTGAATAATTGCCATGTGACTGGTCAAGTAAAAAAATTGTCTTTTTAAATTCAAACGGCTGCACATTACGAAAGCAGCCGAGGACGAGCTTGATTCTTTATGTAAGAGCGATTGGGTAAAATGTTTTTGTCAATGTGCTAATATACACAAGGCAGTTGCCCAATGTGAGCCTATTGTATGGTAAATGTTTAAAGTTTTGTGGGTTGATATTTTGGAACTAAAAATGCTGAACTCATCCTGCCGATTTACAAAGCGTGGAACACGACCTCTGCGATAGCTTGCGACGTACTGTGTTGTCATCTTGTGGCACCTGTATTTTTAAATGCAGAGCACTTCCTACTCTCTCGATGTCATACGTCGTGGGTCAGTGGAAATATCGACACCCCCACTGTGCATGCGCCTCGCATATCGTGCCGCATGCTTGCGTTTTGTACCGACTGTTTGCTCCCCTCCCCTCTCTCGGCTCGCAAGGCCGAGGCAGGCAGCGTCTTCAGTAAAACTTACTGGTTGAGCTACACAACCGTTCACAGGCCACCCTGCATATGCAGGCACTGGATGGCAAAATACCATCCCATCACTCGTTGAAGGCAACGCTTCTCCTGTATTCAGTAAATAAGAATAATAAAGACAAAATAACAGATAAGCAATCCCAAACGGAACATTCACGCGATAGCCCCACCACTGTGTGACGCATTTACTCAAGTTTGGGAGAGCTAAAATTTTCCCAGTATATCAAATCATCACAATTATACATTAGTCGAGTGGGATGCGACCTTGTGCAGCTCTGATACAGTGTAGCAACAGGCCCTGGTCGACCGAACCCGGACGGCGGCAAGAACCAATGGTCTTCCGGACAAGGAGGCCCAACCACTGTAGTGATTTATTTATTACCAATGAATCTTTTACTTTCACTCTATTCTCCCCCCCCCCCCCGTTGAAAGATGTGGACCGCATTATTCAAGCGCGAAGCTCCTTATGTGTGGGTCGTGCGTCTGCGATGTATATATGTATTGAATGTCCGCGCTGGATGGTGGTACATCTATATGATGAATATCTGACAAAAGATCCCAGATGGTGGTACTTGGAGTAGTCACTAAATGGACGAACGGATGGAAAAATGCCTGGACGGATGGACAGACAAATAGATGCGCAGATGGATGGACGTAACAACGTATGGACGGACGCATAGATGAACGCATGTACGGACGGACTTATGGACGCACAGACGGGCGGATAGACCGACAGGCGCCGAGATGGACGGACGGATTCCAGGACGTATATACGCACGGACGAACGCACGGACGAACGCACAGATGGACGGATGGTGGCACGGATGTACGCATGGATGCATGGACGGATGCATCAGCGAACGCACAGAAGGACGCATGGGTGGACGGATGGATGCACGCACGAACAGATGCACGGACAAACGCACGGACGGATGGACACATGGATGGACAGAAGCAAGAACGAACGGACAGACTGAGGCACGGACGGACTAACGGACGCTTCACCTACTCGTCAGCATACACTCCGTGGATATGCTCTGACTTTTTTCATAATTACGATCCCACAAAGACTTGTTCTCCACAAGGAAATGGAAAATTGCACATTCACGAGAACTCGTCCTCCATTTACTTCGCGCTTTATTTTGTTTCGATGCTCTATTCTTTATGCGGCGTTGTCGAGGTTGATAGTGGCAGGCAAGAAACGGCAGGTAACCAGTACTATCAAGCGTATTTCTTGTGCGCTGGCTACGTTGACTATTTATTAGGTCTATTTGTTCCTAACTGTTGAATCAGTGCATTTCTGTACAATAAAAATTACAAAAAATTGCACGGTGCTCAAGCAGAAGACAAAACAAATAAGTGAGTAAACTTAGCAATACTAAAAGAAATAATGTTATCGTCTGGGGTGTTTCAATGCTCTTATATCATGACCATTCCATTGATTCACACTCAGTGCTACGGATGCTGTAGCAGGTGAATAGCAATTAGTCTTGCTTTATTCATCTCAAATTGAGGGCTCCTCTAGCTGGCGGCCGGTTTATTGTCCAGCAAGCGGTGCCATATCCGCAATAGCAATGGCCGAAATCAGTCGCCCGTGTCTTCGACAGGCGTGAAACCACTATGTAATACTTGTGACATTGCGCGCAGCTTGCGCACTGTTTGCATGGGCTGCTAATAGACAAAAAGCGTCTGAGCAAATGAATTGTTGTGCAGTGAAACCTTGAAGGGTGCTGCGACGTTGTAAGAAGACGAGACCACAGGACACGACGTGACGATGAAAGGAACGGAGGCAGCCGACACGTGGTGGAGCGCCTGTGTCATCGGTGACATCTCCGTTGGTGGCGCGGATGTCAGTGTGCTGGTAGCACCACCCGACGATTGTCAGTTCTCTATACTCAAGCGCTCTTCTGAATGATCCACAGCCCGTGATTTTATCAGTGGTGCGTGCCTTCAAGGACGGAATAAAAAGCCATGAATTGCTTTACTTAATCCCGTATCTGTATTATCTTTTTAATTTTGGGGGTTCTATAATCGTAAAGTGGTGACCAATCACTTCCTATAGGCTGAACTGCATGTACGAACATTTCACTATAGGTTTAAAAGTAGCCACTGTTTCAATTAGTTTTGTTAATGAGCTGTGCTCCGCAGGCTTGCTCGCCCACAAACCACATCACAATGGAATCAGCCAAACTTCAAGCATGCCCTACTGTACTTGCTTGACCCTACGCTAAGTCTTCAAGTCCCGCGGAGGCTTTGCCGAGCAGGCCAGACCCTGTTATGTAGGCTATGGTTGGGCGTTGCGTTTACCAACGCCTACGCTTTCCGCATTGCGATGGCCGACACCGCAGCCTGTGGCCACTGTGGCAAAGAAGAAACGATCGAACATATTCTTTGTGACTGCCTAGCGTATAGTAAACAACGACTGTGCCTTCACAAGGAACTTAGCAAATTAGATAATCAACCTCTGTCGGAGCAAGGAATTCTACAATATCGACAAGATGCAACTTCACGGAAGGAGGCCCTGAAAGCGCTTCTACACTTTCTGTGATCGACCGGCCTTACTGAAAGGTTGTAGCTAGGACGCCCTTCCTGTGTCTGTTTTCATTTTCACATGAGTGCGCGTGTTTTTTTTCTCTATCTATTCCCTCTTTCTTGCCCCTATTCCCCCCCCAGCGCTGGGTAGCAAACCAGATGCCAATATCTGCTTAACCTCCCGGCCTTTCCTTTTCTTTTTCTCTCTCTCTATCTTTCTCTCTCTTCTTTCTCGTAATCGAAGTTTCAATGTTTGAAACTGACTACTTCACCCTATTTTATTAAATGCACAGAACTGCTCACTACCTGGTCTGCCATACTCACTATTTGCAATGACACGTTGTTGAACAGTTTTTAGGGCATCTTAAAAACAACAGCTAGAAACATCAGGTTACAAGTAAATGTTAAAATCAAGAGGTAAGGATTGCAAAAAGACCTTTGTTTTGGCCAGATCTATTTTTTGTCTCCGTGTTTGCACGTCAATCTTACACTTTTAAAATCATTTTATAGAACAGCCTCATACCCACGAGGTACAACGCATTTCTATTTCAGAAAGCTTTAGATGCCAATGATTGAAGAAATGGCTGTTTCATTTCAAAGAATTTTGAGATGCAACATTAAATCATTTTAATATCGCAAACGTTCATGTTATTTTTTTTCTTTGCAGTGCAATAGTCGCTTAGGCTGGTTGTGCTGCATTATCTGCCTACTGTTCGCCGTTTTTGGCCTAAGAATTATGAATCCTCCTTTGGAAAGTCCCTTGCGTGGAGCTTTCAATGCTTGTGCGCCAACTGTGTGGTGTCTCGGGTTGGCTTGGATTGTGTACTCGTCCTTGGCGGGATGTGGTGGTAAGTAGCACATCAAATAAGTGGTTCTCTGGGCAAATTACGTAATCACATTGTAATTACTAGGTATATTTTCGAGTGAGAAGCTGGACACAGAAAATCAGTTGTTTATTTTACAGCCAAGAAAGACACCTGGAAATTCCGCAATATGCAGGTACTAAATGCTGAGGAATGGCCGAAGTTGAGGAAGTAAATATGGTGAACTGTGAACCTCTGTGCATTTTTAACGTTCGATGATTGCATGACGAGTCAAAAACACACTGAGAGTGTGTGATAAAGTTTATAAAGAGCCGATGATGGTATTTGCTGAGGAGCTACTTTGTTTCACGGACCACAACTGGGGGAGGTCTTCTCATTTTTGGGTCATATGTGACTTTAGGCTCATTGGAACGTTTCCCGTTCAGTACATCAGCCTTGTGTTAGTTTTACTTCGGCTTCGCGTGTCCTGAGCTTTAGGTCGGTTGGTCGACAAGCCCGTATGCTGCTTCGGTTTTGTGAGACTTCAGCTCAGCATCAGCTCCTTTTTGTGCTCGCTTTGCTTCGGCATCATAGATCCTCCGCTTAGGGTGCCCTTATCGATGAGCCCTAGCTGCTTCGACCTCGCAGGACGTCAGTTCAAGATCGGCTTCTCTTTGTGCTGGTTTCGCGTCAGCATCATGGATCTTCAGCTTCGGGTCCGCTTGTCGAAAACACGTGCTGCTCCGGCATCGCGGGACTTCAGATCGGGTCGTCTCCTCTTTGTGTTCGATTTTTCTTTTAGACATCGCGGATTCTCCGTTTCAGGTGCGCCTGTCAACGGGCCCGTGCTGCTTCAGCTTCACTGGACCTCAGTTCAGGACCTTCGCTACACCTGAGCTCCTCTTTGCACTTGTTTTGCTTCGGCACCGTGGATCCTCAATCTGAGTGCACTTGTCGACGAGCCCATGCTGAGTCCGCTTCGTGGGACCTCGTCTCGGTATCGGCTGCTATTTCGACTAGTTTTGGTTCAGCATAGTAGATCCTCAACCCCAGGTGCGCTTGGCGACGAACCAGTGCTCCTTCAGCTTCCCGGCACCTCAGCTCAGAATGGACTCCTTTTTGCGCTTGCTTTGCTTCGGCATGGTATATCGTAAGCTCCCGAGGCACTTCTCGACTAGCACGTGCTGCTTCGGCTTCGCGCAGTCTCAGCTAAGAATTTGCTTTTTGTTGTGCTTGTTTTGCTTCGGGATCGTGAATCCTCAGCTTCGAACGCGCTTGTCGACGAGCACATTTTGAAGCGCACCCATCGGCCACACTGGTTGGCTGATCACAATTTTTCACAGGCGATGATAACTGGAGAACGCGGAGTTAAGCAAGGCGAAGCCCCTCAATTTCGAAGAGCATTTTTGATATGAATGGATTGTATGAGCGACGCCGATGGTTAGGGTAAGGTCGCCAACATGGTTACCTTACCCCAAAGGCATTTTTAAATTTCACTTCTCTTAGTACGCACCGATGCGACCGGCGCATAAAAACAACACGTTTAGGGCACCGGTAGTGGATGTCACGCAAATCATGCATTGCTGCACTTTACCAAGAACGCTGTGACAGGACAATGTTTAATATAAAAGGCGCGTTTTTGAATGGTATGGAGTATTTGACCATGGCATACACTCCATAGCATGATCGCAATGTGTTGCCGAAACGTCAGCCCACCAAATCAATGTTTACCGATTTTTTATTCGTATACAATGAACACACTGGTCTTGCGAGCTGTGGAATGCAACAAACGCTGATCGTTTGTAGCATTCCTTCTCAGAACTACGATGTGTTTTTGATGCATGCTTTAGTGGAGGACACCAAACATTTAAATCACACGACAAATGGTAACGTTCCTCTAAACCGAAGTGCAGAGGACTGCAGCTTTTAGCCGCCATCGAAATGCAACCATCACCACCAAGGCGGTCTAGTTGGTAAGGCACTAGGCTGCTGACGTGCTGGTCGTGGGACTGAGTCCCGGAGTCGGCGGCGGTATTTTCGAAGGAGGCGGAAATGCATGAGGCCTGTTTGCTTGGACTTGGGTCCAGGAAAAAAAACTGCAGGTGACCACATTTTCGAGAGACCTTCACTACGGCGTCTGCCATAATCAAGTGAGGTATTTGGGACGTTAAACTGCAACAATGATCACTATAAAATGACACCGTTGCAATCAGAATCAAATCAGAAGCTTACACGTCAGCATCCCAACACTCTAGCATCTGTACCACTGTAATATCAAGTAGTGCGATACATTTATCATGACCGTTAAGGTTTTAGGAGTTTAAGGGTTCAATGAATAAAACCGTTCTCCCTGGTATGTCATTTTCTTGTAGTGCATTTGAGTTTAATCAAAGTGCCCCTATTTATTTCTTATTTGTAGCACACCGATGTGCCTGTAGCCAACTACGATATTATTATCACTTACGTTACATCGAGAAGTAAATTCTACAGCAACATCTAAGTTGAACACGTCTTTTTCCTGTAGCTTGTAAACATGCTCATACTCCATAATTTTTCTTTCAGGTCTGGTGGCAAAGTTCCTCTCCTGCAGTATATTTGCACCACTCAGCAAGCTTGTGTTTGCAGTATACCTTACGCATCATCCCCTGCAGTATCTCTTCTATGCTTCACGACAGGAAAGCTTCGACTACAATTATTTTCTTATGGTGAGGTTCCTGTGTCGTAGACATTTAAAGTTGATATATTGCAGTTCCGCTCCGAAAGCCGTCTACCGGTCAATAAACTTTAACACATGCCTTCAACTTTTACGTCAGCTCAACATTCATGCGTGTCTATGATTGCTTTTCTGAACGCAATGAAGGCTCTTGCAGTGCCGATGTGTTGCCACGTAATTGGGTCCTGATTTCTCTCAACAAATATATTTCCCCAGTTAATTGACATGGCGCACCCCCCCCCCCCCAAACAAAAAGCCACCACTATCCATACTCTTGTTGCATTCGGCATTCAGGGTCATCGGTATTTATCATGCTTATGTCGAGTCATTCAACTGTTCAACCCTATTAATTCGCACTCATACTGCACAGAACAGGTCTAGGATAGAAAAGTGAAGGCATTGAAAGTACGTTATAGTTGCTGTTTTGCAAACAGCCTCTCAGGTTTGCCAAGTGGTCACGCACTAACAGACTGTACATGCTTTAATTGAAGTGTTCAGTCACTCTGAAAATGCCGAATTTTTGGTTAGAGAAGCATGTGTACTTCGTGTTAACGTCAAGTATACGCCAACGATGAATAAAAAGAAGGGCGTGCGAGTATCGAAGGCTTCAAATGTATGCTCAGCTTGATTTTATGTGTGGTGTGTAAGTCATTGCAGATACGGACTTTTCAAAATATGTTCGTTTAGAGTATTCCAGGACTGCTACTTTAATTTGAAAAACAGTTGTAAAAGAAGATTTTTGTCCCAAATGAGCTTAACATGTCACAAACGGAGGTACAAGTTCTATTCTTCAAATACCTGTCCTATGTTACGACAAATTAGGCCCTCTAGATTTGCTTCACATCTCAATGTAATTATTATTTAACTGGTGCTCGGCTTAAAGAAGCTCGACAATATAGCGTAAATTCTAGGCTCAAGATAGATAGTCAGGGCAGTACTAAAAATACGAATATCAAAATATGTGCGGTGGTATCCTAACATACAGATACAGAGGCTTCGACGTGACGGTATTTTTATTTATTTATTTATACTGTCAACCCTCACTTGAGGGTCATTACAGGGAGGGAAGCATAGGATATGGAAAGTAAATACAGACATTGATATTTTCAGAAATTTTGAACAATAACACAATAGCATATTCATTGCTCGGCAAAGTAAACATCGAGAGCACATTCAAATTTTTTAACGTCAGAATTTTCAACAATATGTCGCGGCAATTTGTTCCACGCTTCTATTACATCAGGGAAAAAAGATTTGCGAAAGACGTCCGTGCGAGCACCGAAGGGGCGAACTGCCGCGTCATGATTGATCCGGCTGCTGAGCTTATGCGGGGGGTGTACGTAAATTGTTCTATATTTTTATTTGACCATGCAATATCTGAAAAAATACTTTTAGGCGCTGCTTTTGTCGTCTAATTTCTAGAGATTCCAAACCACTTAGTTTTAACATCTCGGTAACCGAATCAGTCCTTTTATACTTCGAACATATAAATCGCGCGGAAAGTCTCTGAATTCGTTCTAGTTTATCTATGAAATCCTTTTAGTGGGGACTCGAAGCAGCACAAGCATATTCTAAAACAGGGCGCACAAATGTTTTATATGCAAGCAGCTTGACGTCTTTCGTAGCATTCGGTAATTTAGCACGCAAGAAACGCAGTTTTCTGTAAGAGGCACAGCATACATTCTCGACATGTGCACGCCATTTCAAATCATTCGTAATATGCACTCCCAAATATTTAAATGCACACACCTGCGGTAAATAATTAGGTCCAATGCTGTACGTAAATGGTAAAACGTGTTTCTTGGTAGTTATATGCGTATATGTTGTCTTAGAATAATTTATTTTCATCTCCCATTTATCGCACCATGTTTGAAAATCATCAAGACAATCATTAATTACAATTTGGTCATTCGCACACGTCACTGGGGCATAGATTAAACAATCATCAGCAAACAATTTAATTTTTACAGGAGGGTTAACAATGTCAACAACATCATTTATATACACCAAGAACAGATATGGGCCCAACACGGAGCCTTGGGGCACACCGGAATAAACATCAAGTGATTCAGACTGAAACCCGTCAATTCGTACCAACTGCTTGCGGTTCGTTAAGTATGCCTCAATCCACTTCAGGATATTTTCGTTTACGCCTGTTCGTTTGAGCTTGAAGAGCAATTTATGGTGGGAGACCTTATCGAAGGCTTTTGCAAAGTCTATGCATATCACGTCGACTTGTTCTCCGTTATCTACGGCAGCGGCAAAATCGTGGAGAGTTTCAATCAGTTGGGATAACGTGGAAAGCCCTTGCCT